TGTGGTTTCTATAACAAGGTTTCCAAACTCTTAGGATTGATCTACCTAAATAGTATTAGCCTGTAAATCTGTGCGTGAAGCCATAGAAAAGGGCTGAAAATTGCTCTCTCAAGCCCAATGTGCTGTCTTGGAAATGTGATACCTTATAAAACATCTGCAGTCTGAAGAACCAGCCCTAGCTGATGTCATGATGCATATTGCAGGATTTTCTTGCTGTGATATAACCCCAGCCAGCAGCTAAGCCCCACACAGACACTCACTTGCTCCCCTCCAGTGGGATGATGGAGAGAATCAGAAAGATCCAAAGTGAGAAAACTCATGGGTTGACATAAAAAAGACAATTTAATAGATAAAGCAGAAGCTGTGACACAAGCAAAGCAAACCAAGGAATTCGTTCACTCATTCTCACCAGCAGGCAGATGTTTAGCCAACTCCAGGAAGGCAGGGCTCCATCACACATAAAGGCTACTTGGGAAGCTGGAACTTTGAATGTCCCCCCACTTCCTGCTTCTTCCCCCAGCTTTATTTGCTGAGCACGATGTCCTGTGTCATAGAACATTTCTGGTCTTATCATTAGCTCCTTTTTTCTTGGGTCTGTTGGCTCTGAAGCCCACACATGGGTCTGAACTAAGGGGCCTAGAAGATGTTTACTGCAGTTCTCAAAGGCAGCAGTTCCTGGGCCTCCAAGGAAAGAGAGAAACAAGCTGGTGGTTTGAGCTAGAAAAATACTGAAGAAAAAGCACAGAATTATTCAGATGCCTGGCAGGGTACTGCAGAGAGGAAGGGAATAATCTGCTGTCCCTGGCTGCTGGGAAAAGGACAGGATGCAATGGACATAAATTACTAAGCCAGAGACGTGACTTCAGGGAGCCAATCAGATGAATTTTTATCACAAGGGCAGTTAACCACAGAAATGGATCCCCTGAGGAGGTTATTGCTTCTTAAGCAAGTTTTGAGAACAGCTCGTATTCCCTCCTCGCACTGCATTCCTTTTGCCGTGCCTTGCCATACTGCAGAGTGGATGATTTCGGTAAACTTCCTTGCCCAAGCAGCCAGCCAAACTGACACTTAACCTGAAGCACTGGGTATGTTACAGGAATCACGGGAGCACATTGCAGGAGGCCCCTGGGTGCCATGGCTTTCCACAGCTAGCTTTTCAGAGCAGATGGAAAAGCCCTTGATGTGAAATTTTCCTTTCTTACAGTGAGAGATTTATGGTGTTGGTTTTCCTTCTGAACCATTTCATTTGAAGTTCCTTTACATCACTGTAACTAGTACGGTAAGAATATTGTAATAGGAAATAAGAGACACTATGGTAAACCACGGTCTCCACTAACTGCTCAGTTTGACACCACATTTCTTGTGTGTGCAGAGAAGCAGATGAAAATGTTGCATAGACCACATTTTGTTGTTGCATAGGCGACCTGTTCTGTTCCTTACTGTGCAAAGCAGTATCCAAATAAAAAAGAAGTGGTTAGGAAGCTGAAATTATTTCTTCCAGTATTTAGCAAAATCACAGCACTTCTGTTCTAATGGACACTGAACTCCAAGTTTTCAGAACAGCAAATTCTGCATGGCTGTAATAGAACATTTGGCACCAAAAAAGCAAGTGCTCCACGGAAGGATATTAGAGCATCTTCTGCAAGGTTTTTATATCCAGGTATTCCATTTGAACACTGGACTCTACAATCCATAGGTTATTCTTGAGATAATACAGTCGTTTCCAGAAAGTGACTTGTCCATAGTGTTAAGTTCTTTTTCGGTTATGATGGAGAGTGTGTGTTCTTGTGTTCTACTGTAGGTAAAATAAAATCCTCCGCTGCAAAAAGCCAGTGGTGCTGCTGTCATTTAGACTGAATCATAATCTCTATTGGATTTAACCACTGGCTTAAGGTTACATCAGATGTTCTAAGTGGCATTTAAGTGTGTATCCACCTCACTGTGGTACAATAGAGCTTTCAATGCCTTCTGTCCCTGGAGAAAGTAGTAGAGAGAGGTTGCCTATAGACTGTGGTGCCTTGTGAAAGAGCACGTGCCAGGAAAGGCCTGGGAAGAAGAGCCTTGCATGGATGCATGTGAGCTGCTGGTGTCTAAAATCCAACTCTGTTGGGCTAGATAAGAGTTCATGTTTGATTTTTCTTGGAGTAAGTTTTCTGTTAGGTTCTATGGGATGTTAGGATCCACTTGTTTTCTCACAGGACTCTGCAGTTTTTACTTGGTTTTAAAACCACCAACTAAGGAAAACTGACTTGTTCTTATTCCACTGAAAAGCGTTCAGTTTTGTTTTAAATGAGGAGCTGGTTCCAAGTTAATCTTTTTCACACTGTACTCCAGACATGTAGGGTTTGCACTGCATGCTCAGCTTTAACATTTCTGTGCTTGCTGGCAATCACTTTAGATCAACATAAGCCTTTTTTTAACATCTGAAATAATATTGGAAACATTTTTGGAAGTGGGACACACCATTGGGTGGTTCCTGGTACTCCTGTGACAGAAGGGAATAGGTGGTGGGCTGTTCTGTATAGAAAACTAGGGAAGAGTATGGGAAAAGTCTGAGATTCTTCATTATCTGATAATAGCTGCTCCAAAGGGGTTTTTAAAACCAAAGCTTTCTAACTGCAGTTACACAAGCAGATCTATGGGGTGGGGATGGGGGGGGGGGGGGGGGGGTGTTAAAAAGAGTCCTTTAAACTGCTTTCACTTGCTTCGTTATAACATTAACAATTTTGACTTTGTTACTGAATGAACTCAAGGATTTTCTTCTATAATGCTTTTTGTGTCCGCCTTATTCTTGGGTGCTTCCACATATGAAAGTTATACAACACCCTATTACTTCCCAAACCATCAATGCTACAAAAGTCGCTTCCGCTGAATGGGTATTTTTAGGCTGAGGTTTAAGTTTTAGAGACTTGTGGTATCTTAAGAAATACATTTCCAAGCTTACAACCTATACCAAATTGAGCTCCCTCTTAGTAATCTGAATGTGAAGACAGTTTGCTTGTGTAAGTCAAGGGAAGTGATTCATACAATTGAATATGGAAGTTTGAGAGACTGCTTACTGTAAAGATCTCCTGCATTTTTATCTTTCCATAAAAGATGCTTATTTCTACTTCACTTTCAGTGTAAAGAATAGCTCTGCCCTAACAGTTCCCTTCTGGTTTTTAAAACATGTTGAACTAAAACCTAAGCCTGAACTTTACCATATTCTGGAAATATCAAAATAAAGATCCAAGTCTGGTGGCTTGGATCTGTTTTCTCTTTCAGGCCTTTATTTGCCATCATTTACATCAGTCTTGTATCATTCATGATTCCGTGAAGCCATTCAGATTACACTACTGTAACTTCAGGGCAATTCATGGCAGAACTTTTTCCAGGGAGGGCTGAGCATCCCACAGCTGTGAGCTTGTGTAAGAGCAGACATAACCACCCTGGTCTGAATGCTCTGCAAGCCGTGTATACACAGGCTATCCAACACAGTTTTAGGGAAACTTACTTGATTTGCTCCAGTAGGAAATCATTCACAGGAAAATTCCAGATTATTACTGTGCTGTTTGTGCTTTAAGACCACTTCTGCTGCTTTTTAGCGAGTTGCTTTATGTGGAATGCAGCTTTAGAGTGGTGCTATTAAAATGTGTTCAAAGATGTTTGTAGCCAAGTAAACGTGCAGTGTTCTTAACTGTGTGAAAGCCCTGCAGCGTTACTTCCTGCCCCTTTCTTCTCTGTGTTGCTGAAGCATTGCCATCAGTAATCTGGGTCAGTCTCTGTGTCTCTCTGATGTTAATGTCTGCAGATTCATGTTTGAAGTATAATTCCTTTACTATATGTCCACACTGGCATTCAGAGCTTTGCATGCTTTCCTGAGTATATCATTCTAAAAGTGTCAGATTTCTCTTAAAGCTTTCAGGTTATGATCCTTGAAGTGGCAAATGTTTTAATAGCTCCATTGGCTTCTCTTAGCTCTAATATTTGGGCTTAAAACTTTTAGAAATCTCAAAGTGAGGAGAACAGCAACCATTTAATTTGGTTTTCAGGAAGTATCAGTTTCCATATTAAAAGAAGGTCAATTTTTGTCTGTTTTTTATAAGCAGATCAATTACTTGGTATGTTAAAACTGGGAAAGTACCTATAAATAGCATCCAAGTCAATTGCAAAACCCTTCAGTAATGAATCTGAATAGTTGCTGTGAAAATATTGATCTTGGTCACTGGCAGGTTTTTAGGGGTTGTTTCATTCCTCGTAACAACTGATACTTTTCCTTTCATAAGGCCTAACTTCCAAAGGAAAATCAGTTTATGCTTCTGTGTTAGAGCTAATTCCACTATTTTAGAATAGTCACAATGAAAATTTCTTGGGAAAGATGATAGGTGAGGATGTGTTCCCTTTACAAAGCCTTTGCTGCAGCTGAGAGTAGAGAAGGCAGCACATTCTCCTCAAGACGCATCCATGTTTTCATTAATATCCTCCTTCTGTTATTTCTTTTTTTTTCTAATTCTGTGGAAAATAATGAAATTCCAGTTTTATTTCCACTAAACAAAAGGAAGATTAAGATAAAAAAATACATCTGTGCAATCTTGAAACATATGGAACCATTTACTCCCAAAATCCCAAACTAGTCTGGATTGGAAGGGACCTTAAAGCTCATCCAGTTCCAGTCCCCTGCCACAGGCAGGGACACCTTCCACTAGAGCAGGCTGCTCCAAGCCCCTGTGTCCAACCTGGCCTTGAACACTGCCAGGGATGGGGCAGCCACAGCTTCTCTGGGCACCCTGTGCCAGCGCCTCAGCACCCTCACAGGGAAGAGCTTCTTTTAAGTTCTCAGAAAAGGCCCAAACCCCTGAATTAAATCTCCTGGACACCAGGGTGATGCAGTGGGACAGCTCTGTCGTGCAAGGAGAGAGCTAGGGCGATAACTGCTCAGGGCTGCTTTCGTATAAATGTCATGATGACGGTTGGCTCAACTGTTCTTGTCCTTTTGCAATGCATGCATTTTGTGGCAGTAGGTCACATTTCCAGACGGGCAATGCTTCAGCAATTACATCGAATCAGTAAATTCTCACACGACGAGCGTCACTATACTGCTCACACATGGATGAACAAAGGTAAGACCCAAAACCACTGACTTCGTTTTTATCCTAGCATGTGAGTTAAGTGTCCTGTGTGTTTCTGTCAGTGAGGTCGCTAGCAGAAGTTTTGCAGTTGCTTTTAAATCAGAATCCTTCTGTTTGTGTGATGCTGCTTATGGCTGGAGTTTAACAATCAGTCTGCTGTTACCAAGGAAGTTGGATCCTGAGTTTCCATCTGCATCTCACTAACCCAAACCACGCATAGGACAGGGCTGAATGAAAACACCTTGAAGAAAGCAAGACTACTAGTGGTGATAGTGGTATTGTATGCTTTTGACCGATGGAATGCAGCTTTCTAAAATGCACTGGCTGCAGATGATGATGCTTTTGCTCAGTGCTTCTCATAGTCTTAACAGCGTGAATAGCAGCATCTCCCAAATGAGAGTCACGTATTAGCTCCCAGGGGGTGCTGGACTAGTCTGACGGTGCTCTCAGCCCCTCTGCTGCTAGCTGCAGGAGCAGCCTAGAGACCTATTTGGAAATCCAGGTCTGCAAGTGTAAGAGGAGGAAAAAGGACATGGTCATCTGAGAGAGATGGCTGGGAGGGAGCAGAGGGATCCTGGGAGCTGGATATGTGCCTCTCAGAGAAAAGGAATCCTGGACTCCCTCAAAGCAGGAGGCAATTCAGAGGCAAGAGCACATTTACGAGGAAGTGTCATTTAGCAGGATGTTCTGCAGAGGAGGAGAAGAGGAAAAGAACTGAGGAGCAGAAAAGTGCCTGCTTTTCACATACATAATCCTATCCCCTTACTAAGCAGGGGGTCCAAATAAACTTTGACCTAGGTTGCAGGGAGTACCTAGACATGGTCCTGGTTCAGATTCCTGTAGAAAGATGCTGTAGCTGACGTCGTTGCTACAGTCAGCATGCAGTGACAGAAGAGGAAAATGTAAGAGAAAACCTGGAACGTGGCAGTTGGGTTAAGGATTACTGCAGATTGGCAGTGTTCATACAGGTCAGCCTTTAAACAATGGGACATCATTTTAATCATGCTAGGGAAGGGTATGGCAAGTTCTGAAGTTTCCCAAAGAAAGTGTTTTTTCTGTTTCTCCAGGACACAGTTGAGTGGTTTCTAAATAGAGAATTTGTGGTAGAATCTCTTTGAGAAGGAGTCCCAGGGTAAATCTTATCCTGAAAGAGGAAGAGAATTCTGCCGTGCTTTAGAGCTAGCCAATAAAGCCACACAGTGACTGCAGCCTTTCAAGGGGTTTGGGTCACTGTTCACATACATTTAATGACATCAGAATTTGACATTTGTCACGCTGGTGTTCCGAATTCCAGTTTGAGTAGTGCATTTAGTACAGAATGGCACAGCGTGTTCCCAGAAGTGTCCCAAGGATCCTGCCTGTTAGAGGCAGTTCTGCAAAGATGTATTGGTTAACTGAGCACAGGAGTGAGGAACAGTTCTTGTTAATTTAGGGAGGGAGAAAGCTTGATGACACATGCAAATGGCACATCATATATTTTAAGTTCCGTGTATGTCGCCCACACTAACTGCATTTGTCCTTTCAACATCTTTCTCAGTTTGAGCACCACCATAGTTGAATTCTGTGTGACTGTGATATTAATACACCTGTTAAAGGGAAAATGAATAACATAATCACATTTTCTTTAAATTAGGTACCCTTTTGGGGGAAAAAATATATAAATATATATATATGACTCTGTGATGTCTGCCTTGAAATTACTGTCTTCCCCTTCTTTACGTGGCAGCTGTCACTGTGCTTAGGAAGGAGCTGGGCCAACCAGTCCACTGCAGGTGACAAAGTGCTAGGGGTTATAGGAGACACTGACTCTCAAGGTATTCGAAGCTGTGTTTGCACATGAATAAACAATCCCAGTTTTATGCAGATATATTTAGCAATACTGAGCCACAACTAGAGAGCTACAACAGTGCCTACATGAAGGTAAACGGGGTGAGGGCAGCTTTTGGAAGGCCAAGTACACGTGCGTTTCTCTTCCATGAGCACCAGGGGTGGCTATTCCTGTGGAGCTCCTGTTTGATGAGTTACAGGTGCCCTCAAAGAATAGAAACTGGCCCAAGTGTGAAAGAGCAGCAGGAGAATCTGCCCCCCTCCATCCCTGAGTGCCACCTTTTAAGGTAGCAAATGTGGTAGCACTAGTTCCAGCACTGCTTTGCCATGGTTGTCTCCAGCCTTTCCCAGGTAGTTGCTGTGAAAAGGATAATTTCAAAGCAGTTTACACTGAGTCATCTGAGTACAGGAATGTAATGCTGCAGTGCATGACGTGAGGAAAAGATTCACCAGCGAAACTGCTGCTTCTGGGGGAGAGCTGGAACCATGTACACAATATAAGGCTTAGCCCAGTTTTAAGTTGGAGTACGTGAGAAAGTCCTTTTCTAATTCTATTCTTCAGCTGTGGTGGAAAATGTTCCTCATTTTAGGCATTTCTACTGGCTCTGAAGAAACAGCTCTCTCTCTCTTCTGAGCTATAAAGGATCATTTCATACCAGACACAGATCTACTTCATAATGCTAGGTTCAGAAGTGAGCCTTTTATGTGAAGTCCAATAGCTTCGACTATTTCTCCATCTCCAGAGCCTCCTGGTTCTCTAGTTATTGTTGCAGAAGAGCAGGTGAGGTTTCCAATGATCCAGCCGTATGTTTGACTGCAGGCTAGTTGACAGCACAGGTTGTTTTGCAAAGACTGTGCTAGCAGCCAGCCCTACTCTCTTCATCCCTCTGGCTCCTCTACTCTTCAGTAACCTCAGTGTGCTTTACAGCCTCCACTGAGTGGCCACCGACAGCTCCTGCTAATGCCAGGAGCTCCCTTGCACAGCTTTGTGCTTCCTTCCTGGCACTAGGCAAAGCAGAGCAAAGACCCCTAGCCCTCCAGCAGCTAGGCCCTGTTTGTTGCTGTTCCTCTCTGAGAAGCTCAGTCTCCAAACCCTATGTATTTGCAGTGAGGACAGTACGACTCTGCCTCCAGCTGGCTCCTGCTGTTGCCTGCTGAAGCTTAGGCAGGAAGATGAAGCAGTCAGCCCAGGCTCACCATGCAGTTGTTGCCAGCGGCACAGAGCAGGTTTCTCTCTTTGCTCCCTGGGAGCACAGAGTTGATTCCTACCCCAGGATGTTTTGAATGCTGGGATCAGTTTAGCAGTCTTATCCCCAGGGAGCAGTTATTAACAGCTTGACAATAAGCAATGGCTATGAACACAGTACTAGAACATCCTAGCAATGAAAACAAGGGCAGAGCAAAGGACACATGCTCTGAAGCTGGTAATGGTGTCCCCCTTCATGTCCTAAAGCAATGAGATACATGGATTAATTTAAAATGCATTGGTAACATATGGGTCTAAAATTATTCCATGCTCTTTAGAACAAGTCCTTTGAGCTAGGGCTGTTGTAAATTCTAATTAGTCTATGCTAATCTCCATAATAAGCAGCTATTTCTAATGCAGATCTAACTGATGAGGTCTGACAGCATTTTTCACACTTACACACTGGCAGCAAGCTGGTATCAGAATGTTTGCCCAGGTTACAGAAACTCTCTATTTTCTGTACTCTACGGGGAGTTTGTATTTGCTGCAGGCTTGTGCCTCTTCGAGGATTGCCCATTTATGCCTGCTTGCTTGTATTTATTTATGCAGAAAATAGGGAGAACTCCTTCAGCCGTTCCCGAAGCTCCAGCGTGTCCAGTATCGACAGGGACTCCAAGGAGGCAATTACTGCTTTGTACTTCATGGAGTCCTTTGCCCGAAAGAACGACTCTGCTGTCTCCTCATGTCTCTGGGTTGGAACGGGCCTTGGTATGGTCTTAATCCTGTCCCTTAATCTGCCTGCTAGTGATGAGCTACGGCAGTCAGAGCCGGTCATGGTGTCACCAAGCGGTAAGAGTGCAACTCTTTTCCTGGCTATTACCTGCCTTGGTACAAGGGGGGAATAACTGCATGATGTTGTATGGCCTTCGGGGCAGGAATTTCTCGATACATGTATGAAGCAATGGTTACTCACTGCACTAAAGGCACACAGGTAAATAAAGATGCTGTGGGAGACCTGCAGCTTCAGTTGTGTTGGTTCTGAAGAGTACTCTGTGTCGTGGGCAAAGTTACACATTTATTGTGAGGGCAGGGAAATTAGCAGAGTTCCTTTGTATTGTGAAATTACAGTCCTGTGTAAGGGCTCTGATTCTATAGCAGTCCTATCTGGAATGCTGGGAAGTGTTTCACTGTCTATGTGTCAGAAGGCTGCAGAGAGGCAGAAGGGAGTTCAGGAAAGGAAACAAAAACGTTGGCAGGTTGAGGTACCTGGAGAGATCCTTGGCTGAGTGAGTGACAGATGGTGTAGCACAGAGAACAGAGGGCTGGGAGAGGTCAGGTCCGAGGAGAGGCAGGATGCACTTAGTACCTTTAAAGGAAAATCATGACAAAAATCAGGGAATGTGCAGGAATAGAGGGTTTCCTACCCACCAGCTTCTTTAGAAGAGCAATGCTGAAGATCACCAGACTAAGAGCAGCAATTTTACTGCTAGGAAACAAATACCCTACAAATGTAATGTAAAGACAACAGCCTATCTTTATGGTATTCAATAGCACATTTTATATAGATTATTTAATATCTCTTGGCCAAGACTTTTTCAGTACTGTCAGCCTGTTTGTTCACCTTGCTGTGTGGTCAGGAAGAGCAGAGCACGCAAGACTTGTCACCTTAGCTAGATGAATGTGTTTGCTCTGTTTGCAAGAGCTGAACATCAGCTGTGCCGCACGCGTTCACAGTGCTGACAACCACCAGCTTCACGGTGGGGCCAGCATCAGTGAGAGCAAATTGTGTTTTGCAGGCACAGTTCTGACACTGAAAGGAGCTGTGCTGACCTTCGCGTGCTTGGACTGCATGGGGACATTGACGCATCCACCGTATGAAGTATGGAGGGACCCACACAGTGCTGATGATGGTGAAAAGACAAGGAGAAGGAAGCTTGTCATGCATTCCCCTTCCTCCTCCCAGGACATGGGTGATCATCAATTTGCGGTCATTTGTTCAGAAAAACAAGCCAAAGTCTTCTCATTGCCTTCCCAAACATGTCTTTATGTCCACAACATCACCGAAACGTCCTTTTTATTGCGAGCAGATGTGGTCACCCTCTGTAACAGCGTCTGTCTGGCGTGCTTTTGTGCCAATGGGCACATCATGACACTGAGGTACTTATCTAACTAATCTCGGGGCAAAACTAAGCAAAGAGGTGGCACAGTGCTGTCACATTCCACTTGTGTTTGCTCCAGAGTGCCTGATGCTTTGCGTTAACTCCCTGGGGGTGCATTTAATGCCCTGCCTTGCCACTGCCATACGTGTTCCTTGGCCTGTCTCCATAGAGGGACTCGAGGCAGTCGCGTAGCAAAGCAGACTGTTCTTTCATAGTCATTCTCCCCCACACCCCAACATGATGACTAATGGCTGATGATTTTTAACTATCATAAAAGAAAACCCTTATAATTTTGCTCAGTTATGGTAGGTCAGGTATGGAGGAGGACAGAAAAACTCAGGCACAAAGGGTCCTGTCCGTCCAGTGTGAAGCAGCAAGTCCCACTCTTGCCATTAAGAAGATTTTCTGCTTGGAGCACCTGGTTTCCCTTCACTGTCACCTCCACCAGTGAGCTGGCTGCACAGTACCCCTCTAGCTGTGCCCTTGTCTTCCGCACTCCATTTTCCCAGCCAGGCCATGTACATTTTGGAAGCAGTTTGCCAAAACGGCAAGCCAGGGGACAGTGAAGGCTACTGGGGAGCAGGGCCCATGAACATGTGATAACTGGGGGCAGACCTTACCCTGCAAACTGCCCAGCCCCATGGCACAAGTCATATACATCCCAGACCTGGACAGCAGCAGCAGATTAAGGGTTATTGAGGCAGCTGAAACTTCTTCAGCCAAGGAAGCAAAGTATGGTGGGAAGGCAGCATGCTGATGGCAGAGCTTTCAGCTTAGAGCTGCGTTTTAACTATTCCAGTTATGGGAAGTATGAACTTGAATGTTGGTTTAAAATGCAGCCCCAAAGCAGGTGTACCAGGAGTGGCAACCGGTGAACTAATGTGGGTATCTGCTTCCCTGCAGCTTGCCCAGCCTTCGCCCACTGCTGGATGTCAACTACTTGCCAGTAACAGACATGAGGATAGCACGGACCTTTTGTTTCACTAACGAAGGGCAGGCTTTGTATCTCAGCTCTCCCACAGAGATCCAGCGCCTGACTTACAGCCAGGAGATGTGTGACAATCTGCAGGTAAGGCTCAAACTCTTGTGGTCCCTTGGTGCTCGTGTGGAAGGGCTGGGGGCCTGATGCGTCAGGTGTAAATTGCCACATATTCCCTGTTGGATTTCAGTATCTGAAGTGCAGGCTGTGCTGCAGGAGCAGGACATACGTGGCTGAATGACGCCAAAGCAGCTCTGTTGCTGTTTGGACCTTTTCATGGCACTGTCGCTTTGCTCCTGTGCCCGAGCCTACATCTTGCCCACAGTTAGCTGCAGTCTCTGCTGGCTCCATACAGAGGCAGATTTGTGCCCATGTGGGACTCTTCACAGCCCAGTTCTCCAAGCCCTACCCTATGAAAGACCAACTGTTCGAAATGACTGAAGGGAAAGAAGGGGAAGCTACACATGGATAGCAGCTACAGCAGTTGGTACCAGCACATGTCCAGCCACAGAAACTGCCTCAGCAACAATATGAATACCTTCCTGTACTTTTAATCATTTTTGATTTTAACTGTTAAAAAGTACCTGCATACCTGCAGCTTGCAGGAGATCAGAGCGAGCAGGAGACAAACCAGTGTGGTTAGCAGCAAAACCTATGCTCTGTTTTAATCTCACTTTTAATTATTTACCATTGTTTTTACTCCAATAATTGGTACTCCCCTTCTTCCACACGAGGAAGGCATCTCCTATTGTACATTAAAATACAGAAGCTATAGAAAAGATCTAATTAAAAGAATTAATTTGAGCAAAAGGTCTTTACAATGTGAGAATGTTGGATTTGGGGGTTTTTTTTACAATAAAAATGCAAATTAAACTTTCATTTACTGAAGAGGAGGAATTGTGAGAGGTTACAGGGAGAAAAGCAGTAATAAAAGGGGAAAAAAAGGAGGGGGGAATAAGCTCTAGGTTATATAATTAGCAATGAACTAGGATAGAAATATAAAAGAAATGGTCCTGCCAGCACTCATTATGCTCCATGGAATAACGTGTGCTGAGCTGCTCAGCTCCCATCACAGCACTGCCTGTCTCAAGTCTCAAAAAGCCCTGTGAATAGCGAGCATCGCACACAAGCTTTTGTGCATTGGAGAAGAGGCTGTTTTGCATGGAACCAACCATAAAATGACCACAAGGTTTGATCCAGGTACCTTAGAATACGGACCTACATTGAGAGGCTCTTACAAGCTACATCATTTTGTTTATTAACCTTAATTGCATCATAAGGCGAACAACCAAAGGGAAGCTCAGCCCTTGCTTCTCTGTGCTGCTGATACCTTGGCTTTACGTGAAGAGGACAGTAGGAGGCTTGCCCAGTCATCATGCCTGTACCCAGAGCAGAGGACCCGGTGTCACCTCCAGCCTGGGAAAACAGAGCCAGGCTCACGAGTGCCTCCGCTTGGGCTCTAAGGGCTGCAGTGGTTTTTCTCCCAGAGCAGGTGTCTGTGCAGAGGAACGGAATCACTGCTGCCCTTAGCACTCACCCTCCTGGGAGCAGAGCGCTCTGTGCCGCACCACAGTGTGTTGGGGCTTGGGTGAGCAAACAGAGCTGAGCGACAGGGCAGCGAGTGTTCCGGTTCCAAACATGGGTGGGACTGCATGCTTTCTAACCCAGGTTAATTCCATAGAGCTCCCTTTTCCCAGTACTGCTGCAAATCACTCTGAGCATCAGAGTTGGTTGGGCCGACAGCTCCAAGGTCTACCACCATGACAGTGCCTTCAGCTTATTTAGCATTACTGATGGCACTGCCACCATGCACACCACCAGAGGAGTACCTGGGGAGGTTGTATGGAAGGTGGTGGGATTTTGCTTAAAAAAGCCCACAGAAACCAACCAAACAAGAAACCAGCAAACTGGGAGCTGCTCGGAAGCGCTGACCTCAGGTAAGCTGTAAGAGGAAAACAGGGAGTGACTGCCCTGCTTCTGTATTCAATTACAGTGTTGCCTCTGCTGTTTCTAAGCAAAATGTGATCTTATCACTGGTATTTACACTCTGTAGTGAGTATGGATTTTTTTTCTCTGTGGTAATGAACATAAAGCTGGGCAGTGACAAACCAAGTCCCTCTGAAAGCATGAGTGAATCTGGTTAGTCCATTAGTCTGGTTAGTCTGCCTGTCACGAAGCACAAATGCTAAGTACTCAGTAGTGTTTGCACAACAGAACCTTTTAAAATGAGCTGATTAGATGCAATGCACGTGGACTCATTAATGCAAATAAAGAAAACACCCAGAACTGCTTCCATCTCACTAATTTTTCACATGGACTTTTGTCTAACTTTGCTAGGACATGCTGGGGGATTTGTTTACTCCTGTGGAAACCCCAGAAGCCCAAAACAGAGGCTTTCTCAAAGGACTTTTTGGAGGAAGTGGACAAGCTTTTGACAGAGAGGAGCTTTGTAAGTCATTTATTGGGGTTGGGTTGGTTTCTTTTCAGAAATTAACTCATGGGATCCCCTGCCCTTGTCATAGAGGAATCGGAGACTGATGTGGGTTGGAAGGGACCTTAAAACTCATTCAGTTCCAACCCCCTGCCGTGGGCAGGGACACCTTCCACTAGAGCAGGTTGCTCCAAGCCCCATCCAGCCTGGCCTTGAACACTGCCAGGGATGGGGCATCTCACATGGTGAGAACCCTGTGCCCCAGCCTCACCACCCTTCCATTGTTTCAATGTCTCAGCATCCATCCATTGTTAACCTCTGAATGGAGTGGTACACAAGGTTCAGATCATGGATGAAAAAGGGGGAGGGTCCTCAGCTGCCTCTCACCATTCCTTCACTTTGGCAGCTTCTTTCAAGCAGTTGAGGATGGGGTGCGGCACAACTGTGGTGTAGCTGTGCACAGAGCAACATCTTCCACATGTGCCATCCGTGCATCAAATGGCATCACCGCTGTGGGGCTGCAGCTCAGGGATGAGAAGCACTGATAGGGCCACGGCCAGGGACTCATTCCTGTCTCTCTGTCCATTTCTCTTTTGCAGTTGGCGAGGCCACAGCAGGAAAAGCCTCTCGCAGTCTTGCCCAGCACATCCCTGGATCGGGTGGGATTGAAGGTGTGAGAGGTGCTGCAGGAGGCGTCATTGGGGACTTGACTCGTGCACGCATTGCCCTTGATGAGAGAGGACAGAAGCTGGGAGAGCTGGACGAAAGGACTGCGAGCATGATGGCCAGCGCCGAGGCGTTTTCCAAGCATGCACATGAGGTAGGGGCCCTGGCACCACACACCCAGAGCTAGGAACTGCCACCCTGCAACCAAGCTTTTGCTTCCCTTTGGGAAAGTCAGGTATGGTTCTCCCAGTTCACCCAGTCGAGTTGGTTTAGGTGTACTCACGTTAACTGGCACACCATCTTTCCTGCTCCCAAACAATGAGAACACCCAAAATAAGCTTCCATTGCACAGCTCTTCCTTTCATGTTTTCTTAAATGAGCATCCATTGCTAGCCTCTGAATTTAGAACATGGCACTTCTCATCTCTCGCCTTTCTTACTCTGTTGGGGTGTTTTTTTAAGCCTCTCAGTGCAGCACATCTATGCAGTAGGGCAGAAAAGAGGTAGGTGGATGTGTATACAGGAACCTTTACAGATCCAACTGGGAAGAGGAGGAGAACATTTCTTGTACAACCCTGTGGTACAGTTCTATAGAATAGGGCTTGCCTGGAACAGACACTTCTGTGCTTAGAGCTGGAAATGGAAAGTTCTTCCATCCCACGCTGTTAAGGCTGGGAATCAACCACAGTGATTTTCCTTGGAGATAAATCATTAAAGGATACTTCTCCAAATGCATGGGTTTTACTTAACATCCATCATATCTCTGGACAAGACCTTTACATTTTCATTGTTTTAGGTCTGATGACAAAAAAAAACAAACCCAAAACAAACCAACCAATAAAAAAACCCAAACTCCCCCAAACTAACAGAAAGAATCTGCCCTAGAATGCAGGAAGTTTCTATATTCAGGGTGTATCTGGTGTGTTCCATAAGCAAGCTTCTTTCTATGAGGAATAAAAAGAATGTTCCTGGTTATTCCCATAGCTCTGTACTTTTTGCAGTAGAAAATGAATCAAAGCTCCTCAGAAAAACTCTCCCAATGCCCAGCAAGAGCAGGGCACTTCTTAAAGTTATTGGTTTTAAATGTCACAATTAATTACGAAATTCAAGATGAGGCCTCAGTGGACTCGAGACCTGATGATGCTGCTAGTAAAGTACCACATTGCTCTTCCTTTTTAACTTACAGAGGGCTGTGACAGTTACTGGGCCTAGGTCATGTGTGAGATATCATAGAATCCCAGACTGGTTTGGGTTGGAAAGGACCTTAAATCTCATCCACTTCCAACCCCTGCCACAGACAGGGACACCTTCCACTAGAGCAGGCTGCTCCAAGCCCCTGTGTCCAACCTGGCCTTGAACACTGCCAGGGATGGGGCAGCCACAGCTTCTCTGGGCACCCTGTGCCAGCGCCTCAGCACCCTCACAGCACAGAATCGTTGCAGAGCAGTGGTTTATATCCCTTTGTCTGTTTCCTGTTTCTGCAGGTGATGCTGAAATACAAGGACAAAAAGTGGTACCAGTTTTAGACTTTCACGGAAGCTACTTGTGGCTTTAAGAACACTGTTCAGGGAAGCAGCAGTCATTCCCAAATCTACCAGTCACTGGCCAGAGACAGGTTTTTTTTTCTCCTAGAAGATGTTTTCCTGTTACTATTATTGGATTCATCGCAGTGGGAGTCAAGGAGCAATGTTACAGACCATGAGATGGAAGCTGAAATGACGTGGCTCTTACTCCAGCAGCTGGCTCATGCGGTAGACAATTTTATCCCGAAAGCATCACTGTGGCATGTAGTTTCTCAGAGGTATGAACTGTGGGGAGTGCATCTGGTTGAAAATACTCTGTACAAACTCCAATGTTAATGCACTTAGTTATAAACCTTTGCATGAGTGACATCTTAAAAAAACAACAAAAAAAGAGAAATAGAAAGCATGTTGTGACTGAAGACAAATGGGATTTATTTCTATTCCGAGACAAAAAAACAACCCCAAACCAAACACTTAAATGGCAAAAATCTTTATTTTTTAAAAGTGACATTACAAAAAGCCAGTACATTTCAAGCATGTTTGCTATTGTTTTCAACATCATAATGAGTTGAGCTGCATTTTCTTACCTATCTGCTATTTATTTCCCTTGAAAACCCTTGTTTGAAATCAGTGCTCTCTAACTCCTACCAAAAGAGTAAATAAATTCAAAATCCTATACCCCAAATTTACAGATTTTTTTAACTAGTGAGACAGGCACTATCTGAAATGCCATGAAAACATGAGCATAGAAGGGTTATTTCCACTTCAGAGCACAATGTCATCCTTAGCTCTACTTTCTAACATGTGCTCTAGATTCATCTCAGTTGTCCTTGAAGGGGGCTATGGCAGTTGTCATTCCCGTGGCATCTCTGTCACTTGGTTGCCTTATTTCCCAGTCACAGGAATAGCAAACCAGCTTAGGAAATGGCATCTTCCAAGTGAGGAAAAGCAAGATGGGGAGGCACAGCCCTGTCAAGTTCTGCTGGCAGAAGCTGCTTAGCAGCTTGTGCACCAGTGGTCAGTTGAAATTGTGCTAAGGAAACTGCATGGTAACCCCCCTAAAGCAGGGCAAAGATCACAGCACCAAGACTAAATGATGGGCCAGGGAAAGAGCATCAAAACAATTGGCAACATCTACATACAACACCATGGGTGAGTAGCACTTGAGATTCTAATCACGCTGCTAAACATCATTTGCTTCTGCTTCGAAGTGGCTTGATTGTCAGTGAACTCTGCAGAAAAGGCCCCAACCTGCAGCTAGAGAAGAGAACAGTCTGTAGAACCCATTACCTGTCTACACCACTAGAGCCCAAATCCATAAGCGTGCTACAAGAGCCTCAGTGCCGCACAGGTCAATTGTTAAGTTAGAAGTCTTTCCAAGACTGGCTTGGAAACAAGGCACTGAAGGCTTGGTTGCATGTGCCTGGACTGGACACAGCTTCAAATCAGGAAAGAGAGGAAAAGGTGGAGAAGCAGCACTTGAAATTAATTCTGTAAGAGAAGAATGAGGACCTCTGTCCCTTCATAGAGTCCTTACAGACACTGGTGCAGAGGGGCAGCATCCCCCTGCTAACTAGACCTTGACTTCACTCATGTCTCTATCACTCTAGTGTTCAGATGATGCCCTTCCCATATCCTTCCTTTTGTTACAATAAAACGGAGCCTGGGAAGGTGTACAGTCCAGAAGCCTGGCTTCACCATCAGCCCAGCTGCACACGTTAAAGGGCTGGAGCACATCAGAGGTGTTAAGTTCTAAACCCACATTGTAGCACCACAGCAATGTCATGGTTTGCAGGACTTTCACATTGCTCTGTGGGCAGAACCAAAATGATGGCCCTGCCGGGTCTAGCTCAGCTGGGACTGAGCCTCAACAAGGTCCTCTCTGTCATGGAGAAAACTGCTCTACAATTGTCAGAACCTTTGAAACTTACAGGGAAAAAGGTCAAAGCCTGGGTTTCTGCCAAGGGTAAAGGAATTGGAATTGTCTGTGAGCTGAGAGGATGTCTCTGAGTGTTTGAGGAAACAGCAAACTCACCCCCCTGATGGCAACAGGAACTGGGGGACTGCTGGCAGCAACTGGGTCACAGAACTGGCCACTTGCATCTGTGAGGAAGCACATTTATTCCTCACTGCTTTCTCGTTCTCTAGAATGAGAAATAAATAACAACATTATAGCAATTCTATCTTCTGTTTAAATGTACATTTCCCCTTCCTGGACTCTGGCCTGCACTCCAAACCTGGGCAACAAAACCCATTTGGGGCAGCATTCAAACCCTCCAACCAGCTTTCAAGCCCTTATTTTTCCTGCCTTCTCCGCTTTTACAGAGAAGTGAAGCAGTGTTCACTGACCCCAGACCAAGGCCATCCCACCAGCATTTGGTCTGTCTGCTGCTGCAGAGCTGGTGCACACAGAAAGGCCATCACCAAGTCCAGCGTGGCCCTGGTTTCCACCATGAGCTGGTGTTCAGGAGGCAGCCCCATGAGTGCTGGCATGTGGCTCACTGCAGTGACAAGGAAGCTGCCGGTCCTGTGTCAGTTCTCAGCCTTGGTTAACACCGAGTTCAATGGGAACGGCTCCAGGCTTGGAGCCTGAGCTGGTCACTGCTTTGAGCATCACAACTCAAAATGTAAGAGCAACTTCTAATCGCTGATCACTGCAGCACAATTGACCTCAGCGAGTCTTTCCCACAAAGCCTGACTGCCTCTGGCTGCCAGCAGGCTCAAGTTTAACACCAGGGAGGAAGGGGGGAGCCTGCCAGTAGATTTCCACCTTTTATGCAACAGAGAAGTGAGAATTTAGCATCCCTCAAACTGACACTTTTTAACAGCAAACCTGGAAGCAGCCTTCCCCTCGCACTGCCCAGCAGGGCACAGCTGCATCTTGCTTTCCACTCTTCCATACTTTACATCTTTCCAAACAGTTACAAATTGCTATTTCTGTTAAGTTCACCACTTGTGACTATAATTATCGATTTTCTTGTAGTCTGTAGAGATCTAAAACATTGTATATGTTTGTATATAGAACATTCTATATATATAAATATATATATGTAATGTATATGTTGTATAAGTTTGTTAGTGCACACTGTTAAATGCTTTCTATCCAGATTTACCATGTACGTGGAAAAAACAAACAGCCTTCACTTAAAAACGTCAGGGAGAGAGGAGGAAATCCTCTGGCCTGGTTGGTTTATTGTGAAATGAGGGGGAGTGTGGGATTGTTGAGGCCTGACCCGACCACTACTAAAGGCACAAAGATGCAGCATTCCAAGAAACAAGCTCAGCATCTGACCTGACTTGCCATTAGAAAACTTGAGGACACTGGCTGTCAAAATCATGTGCTTTCACCTTCCCCCTTAAGACAGCACCACCTCAGGCAAAATCCTAACCATAGCCTTATCTTCAGCATCGCAACCCCCTGTTACAATAGACCACATTGGCTGGGAACATTAGCTGGATTGCAGATGCATTTGGATACCCTGTTCCCTCAGCTCCCTATCCCACCCACACCCCCATACACACATGCACACATCTGGGGTCAACCAGATGTTTTTAAGCTTAGGCCTAGAGCTCCAGGTAGACAGAGGACACAGAGCAAATCCATGAGGTTATTTATAAGGTCTGAGAGTTGACAAGTCTTCAATGAATTACAAGCTATTTTGTGAAAAAAGAATAAAATCCATTTCCTAGAGCCTTAAATTCCGTTTCAAATCCTGAATTCAAAACCATGCTTAAGGAAAATTTGAGAATCAGGTTTTGCTTTGTATCATTAACTGTTTCCTAAATTCTTTTTACAGTTGTGCATTTCAACTGTTTCTATCAATTAGACATTTCCTCTGTTAGCAAAATACAGCTTGTTATACAAATATTTAACAGAATCACTCTATTTACAACACATCAAATTAGCACATACAGAAATACTCTAAAACAGTTTACATATTCCTCTGGAGAAGCCCTTTTGCACCACTGTGTGTGCATTGTAATGAAGAAATACATACAAAAATGGTTTTATCAGTATGCAGTTTAAGGAGAAAGCACTGCAGCTTGACGAGCAGCCGTGTCAGCCTCAGGACTCCATATATAAACTGTGTGTATTGTACCACAGGCAAACCCCCCAGATTTCAGATACTGTGCCCCTGTGCTCCCCATACGTCCTGCTCCAATAGCCTAAAGGTGAATTCAAGCACAGCATGTCTCAGTCTACAGTGTTCTGCCTTGGCATGGTCTCAGTAAGAGCACACTCTCTCTCATTAAGGAACTACGTGTGGCCATTTGTAGTCAACTGTTCATCTTAGGTGTATAAGCAATAGTCACGTAAATGAGTGTTTCCATCCATGTGTTTTGTTTTGTGATTAAATCAACAAATCAAACATTGTACTTTTTTAAATAGCAACCAATATTCAGATTCAGTGACAAGGAGACGCAGACAGGATACGTGCGGGGTTTGTTACCGAGGCGTTACCTGTATTTCGGACTGAAGGCTGAACACTCCTGCACTAACCATGGCCTGTTTGCACAGGTATCCGCAGTCAGCATCACAAAAGTTAAAACAAGGCATCTTTAACTGAGGCTGTTTTGAGTCCCCAGTGACCAAAAAGTAAAAAAAGGGAAGGAAAATAAAGGCAAGAATTGATATTGGCTGGTGTAGATCTCCTTTTTTCTTTCAACTCCTGGATTCTTTATAGTACTTCAAAGGCGAGTGGTTTATGGAAAGCCTTTGGATGGAGTTCACACTACTCACTCAGGCATACGGAAATGCAGACACAGTTGCTGCTGGGGCAGGGATGGCCACCTCCCTCCCTCCAGCTCACACAGGGACAAAACCTGGACCCCAGCTCATGTTCCTGTGCTTTACTGCAGGGAGCTCATAACCGCAGCACCAGCCCCAGCAATACCAGCCTTGAACCTGGGCTTCCCTCCTGACTGCCAGCACCCTTCCTGCCACTTCCACTCGGGGTTCAAAGCCACCACCTACCAGCTGCACTCTGAGAAGGGCAGGAGTGAGCACTCTGAAGGGTGCTTACCAACACCTTTGCTTTGCTCTGCCAGGAGAGGTTCAAAAACATCAGGCAAAGCTTCCAGCTCCCTCTTTTCAGCTATGGATCTGCAGAAGAAGCTCCATGGCTCTCATCCTGATGAAACACAAACAACACGGGCAAAAAGCAAAAGGACCAGAACACATCCGATTGCAAATGCCACCGTTTGTCACCAGCCCCTCTCCAAACGCTGCCCAGCTACAAGACAGCGCACAAAGCACTTGCAGTGGGCAGGGATAAAAGGAAGGCTGCAGCAGAAGGGCCAAGGCAAAACAAGCTTCTGATCCACATGTGAGGGGAAGGACAAAGTGTATCAGACATCAATGGCAGGAGTTGCTGCCACTGAGTATAGAGAAGCTCTGCCCCATACCAGCAGGCTGAACTGAAACCTCAGCCATCTGATGAGACAGTGGATAGGAACCGAGCAGCACAAAGCTGCTCAGCAGTCCCAGGGGCTGGGCTCTCCCTGCGAGGAGCTGAGTCACACAGGTTCACGGGATGTGAAGACAAAGCGTTCCTGGTGACCCCAGCCATTTGTCTGCCAAAAGAAATGGGGGGGTGATCCAGAGACCCACCTGCTGGTGCAGGAGCCAGGCAAGGGCAGCACAAGGCAGGAC